TTTGAGCAGGCTGTTGATTCTTGGCTGGTGGGTCTTGTTCACATGCTCAGTCTCAAATTGATCACCAGAATTGTAGTCAGGAAGGAATTTTTACCCAAGTCAGTTTGGCAAGGATTTTCAGGAGGGAGGCTTTCATCTTCCTCTGCAGCAGGGGACATGGATCATAAGCTAGAATCAACTAGGCTTTTCACCTGCAGAGCACTGGGCACCAGTGGCACTTTGGTCACTCCTGCTCCTGTGAATTTAATCTCCTGAGCACCAATATGATTTATAAGTTAACAAGATATTGGGCTCAATACTAGGGTGTGATGATAGGAGTGCTGACCAGCACTCGCTGACTAACGGGTTAAACTCAGGTAGCTAGCAAGGGTGTTGGCAAAGGACCAGAGGAACCAATGGGGATACAGTGCTGAAATTTGAAACTTATAAGATACCTTGCCTGCTTTCTTTGGCTACGTCTACACAGCTTCCCTCTTCTGCAAAAGCAGAACAGATTAGCATATTGCTGCACTTCATTTGCATAATTAATTAGGAGCCATTTTTGTGCAAAAAGGCGCCAGCTACACAGCGCTTTTTTGCACAAAACCTCCTCTTGCACAAAAACGGCTTCTAATTATGCAAATGAAGCATGCCAATATGCAAATCCACTCTTCATTTGCATAGGCTTTTGCGGAAGAGGGAAGCTGTGTAGATGTAGCCTTTGTGTGGGGAAGTTAAGCCAGGAGTTGAGACATACAGAATGATTTAAACCCAAACAGGACTACCATGCCTTCAAGGAATTCAGGGCATAGAAGTAGAATGAACCAAGACGGGATTGTGAGTAAATAAAGGGGAAAAAGTGTATCTAGTTGAGATCAGGGTATTTTTCTTTATTGTGATTGGTTTAAACTTCTCTGTGTGAATCCATGCCTTCCCTCTCCCATTCACTAACAGTTCCCACAGATTTTCTTTGTGTTTTTATTTAGTTGCTCTGTATACCTAGCAACCAAGTATGCTTTATCAAGTATATCTTTTGTTTTAATAAAAATCACTTTAAGGTGATGATTTGATTCTTGTGTCCTGCAAAGTAACAGGGGAGGGGGGTGTCTGTGTGTGTGTGTGTATTTGCCTGCCTAAGACTGGGTGGTCTTAGAAGAGAGGCTGCAGCTTGTTTCTCTCTTTTCTCCCCCACCCCCCAAGCTCTTTTGGGGGAAGAGAGCTTGGAGTATGCTGGGGAAGGACTTCAAGTGTTCCCTCCTGTTTTTTAGAGTGAAATCACCTGGTGGCAGCTTTGGGTTTGTTTGTTTTCCAGAGCCAGTGCATCTGTGACTCTGGTGAGTTTTTTTGTAAGCAGAGCCTATAGAAGCAAGGTATTTAAGGTTTTTGCAGGCCCCCACCTTCTGCACTTGGAGTGCCAGAGTAGGGAACAGTCCTGACATGGTGGCAGCAGTGAGATGAGCGGGCATCTGTGGTCTCTCTTAGGGTGCAGAGGACTGAGAGGTAGGCTCTTGGTTTGTCCCTAGTGGTGAACAGCCATCAGGGGAGCAAGCACCCCTTCTGATACTCCCTTGAGTAGCTGTCAATTTTGTTTTCCTTCATCGTGTCAATCCACCTGGCTGCTATATCTCCCACCTCCGTTACGTCTTTATGGTTTGCATCTCAGCAAACAGATAATAACTCTTGTGCTTGCAAGATAATGACTGGTATTAATCCATCCTTTCAATTTTTTTGGAGCCTTGTGTTACAAAGCCTGAATTAGTTGAAGGAACTGGAGGGCAATTAAGCTAACTCCCTACTCCTAGTCTTTATAGTCTTGGAAACCTATACATGGGATGGAGAGGCACGGATTTCTAAATACTTCTGAGTTTTTACATAGCTGCACCTATCCCAAGAGCATAAATTCATACAAACAATCAAATCAAAGAACACTGGTTACTCTGACCACTGTGTACAAATATATAATTAAAAAATAGTTTTTGTTGCTGTTTTTTGCAGGACCCTTTGTTTTTTTCATGCAATAATATTAAAGGAAAGAAGGTCTGATTTAGCATAAGGTTAAATTTCTGGTCACTACTTAGATAAGATTTTGATGTCAATAGCACAGAACATCCAGAAGTGATTACAGATTAAAAAGTGAGAAGGAAATTTAAAAAAGAAAACAAGAGAAATGTGAGATCATTATCATGGAAGTTTGTTTTGGTGCCAAAGCTGGAACAGTGGATCATACTTTTTAGGGATAACTCAGAAGATTTTTTCTAAATATATAACAGAACTGTAAGCTTCTATAGTTTGTAGACTTCACAAAAACAAAACAAACCAACCAACCAAGACCATCTGCTTCCACATTGTGCTATTTTCTTGCTTTTATTTTCATGGAATAACTACATACATACTTAGGTTCCAATCCAATATAGATTGCAGTCAATGAGAAGAGTTTCACTGAAATTAATGGACATTGGATCTGTTCCCTCATACTCTAGTTGATGGATATAGGTCGGGAATTAAACAGAGTTCTCTTTCTGCACCTTTCTATTTTTACCTATTGTTAATTAAACATGGTAAAAGCGGAGTTTCTGCTTCAACCCTGAATTACTCAAGTTTGTCTTTATGTATTCTCACTGAACTCAATTTAATTACACCAATGTAAAATTGAAACAATTCACTGGTGAATCAAGCCAAGAGTTTGAAAATTAGGGTATATGTATTAGGTAAAACCAGGGCAGGGGCAGGTGGCTTATATTGTCTTGTTCCTGAGAAAAGGAGATAAAGTGAAATTTCTTTACATGCATATTGATCATATTCACTAGGTTTGAAGGGAATGTGCTGAAAGAGGGTTTCATGCTAACGGTGCATTGCAGTGATTATAGTAGAGATGGTTATTTTTTAGGGGTTGCATATTAGTTTGCATATTAAAACTTTCTTCTCTCATGATGCTCTCTCTTCCAACAGTCAGCTTTTGTGTTTTCTGCATCTTCCCTACAAAACAACATACATGATACATTCCAGACAAAAACTTGTTAGGACATATTTACCGCCAGGAAAAATAAATGGGTTATTATACTGATGACTTCAGTGAACCATTTGCAAATACAGTAAAACTCCATTAGTCCGGCATCCAATGCTCCGGGACTCCTGATGGTCCGGCACCATCAGGAACCCCAAAGTGCTGGGGCAGCTGGACAGGCTTCCCCCATTCAGCTGCTGCTGAAACTGACCAGCAGCTGAATCGGGGAAGCCGGGAGC